TTATGGTATGGTACAATCTCAAGCTCATGTTTCAGATACTTCCTTAAACCCATCTGCTGATACTAGTGCTTTCTCTTAGGATGAGATGTACAATCTCAAGCATCTGATGGATAAACTTGACACTTCATCTACCATAGCTTCTCCCAGTGCATCTACTTCCTCCAACTTTGCTCATATAAGTAGTCAAGCATAGGCTCTCAACGTTTCTTCTTCTCCTTGGGTAATTGATTTTGGAGCTACTGACCATATTGTAGGTTCCTCTATCCTTTTTTGTTCTTACTCTCCTTATTCTAGTAAGAACAAAGTGAGAGTTGTCAATGCCTCTTTATCCTCAGTTTTTGGAAAAGTTTTTGTACAATGCTCTCCTTCCATTTACCTTTCATCTATTCATCATGTTCCAAACTTCTTTACTAATTTACTCTTTATTAGTAGTCTTACTAATTTCTCAATCAGCACAATAACATTTTTTTCTTACATATTATGTGTTGCAGGAACTAAAGACGAGGAAAACAATTGACAATAGTACAGCACATACTGGTTTTTATTTGCTAGATGATGTCTGTTTATCTACATTGTAGTTGGGTCAGGCTCTACAAGTGGATACTGCATCTTCTTTTTCACTCCTACTTTAGTGGCACTGCCATTTAGGACATCTTTCCTTTGTTATTCTAGAGAAACTTTTTCTTATGCTAGCTAAATAATGTCATAGGAACAGTTTTGTTTGTGATGCTTGCAAGTTTGCAAGAATAACATTCATATTATCCTTCCATTAATAAAAGAAGTAATTTAACCATTATGCTTATTCATTCTCACGTGTAGGGTCCCTCTCAAGTTGTTTCTCGCAATGGTTATCATTGGTTTGTTACATTCATTAATTGTTATTCTCGTATTACTTGGGTGTATTTACTCTGAACCAAGAGTGAAGTATTTTCCTAATTTAAAGCTCTTCATAAAATTGTGACTAACCGGTTTGATACTATCATTAAAACACCTAGGTGTGATAATAGAACTGAATATATTGATACCAAATTCTGAGCATTCCTTGAAGAGCATGGTATTCTTTATCAGATCAGTTTGTGTAAACAATCCTGAACAAAATAAGGTTGTGAAGCACAAAAACTGTCATCTTCTTGAGATTGTTCGCACTCTTATGTTCACTATGAATGTTCCCAACACCTTTTAGGGGATGTTCTTCTTACTGATGCATATCTTATTAATCGCATACCCACTAATGTTCTTCAGTTTAAAGTTCCTCTTAAAATTCTCTCCAGCTCCCTTTCTCCCTCCTTTCCTTCTCCCAAGGTGTTTGGGTGTACTTGTTTTCTTCATGTCTCGTCTCATTCCCAAGGTAAACTCAACCCTAAAGATGTGTAATGTGTCTTTGTTGGATATTCTATGATTCATAAAGGTTACAAATGTTATGATCCTCAGTCTCACAAAGAATGTATTAGCATAGATGTCACATTTCATGAGAGCGAACCTTGCTTTGTTTTATCTCAGTTCTCTCTTTAGGGGGAAACCGGTAATGAAGAAGAGAGGCAACAAGAAGGCTCTCATTTTTTCTCCCTTTGTTAAGAGAGATTTTTTGTGGTGAAGAGGAGAAAGACAAGTGTAGTAGTGAGGGGAAGAAAGACATTGTACTAAAGAACATAATATTGGTGGACGGTTGGATAGACTTGATTTTCGGAGTTATTTTCGACTTCCAAAAGAGCAGACCATCCATGATCCATGTGCCACCAACTTAATTGTCATCCCCAACTTCAGTTTCAGATTCTCCCATAGAGGCTTCAAAAGATAAGTCTTCATCTCCTATTGCATCTCCTGTTGTTATAAATGTTGATGATTGTTCTCTACCTATTGCTCTTAGAAAGGGTATGAGATCTTGTACTCAACATTCTATTTCTAATTTTGTTTCTTATACGTCCTTATCTTCTTTTTGTCATCACTTTGTTTTGTCTTTATCTTTTGCATCTATTCCATAGGATTGGAAGGAAACTATTGTAGATCCTAAGTTGAAAGAAGCTATTGTAGAGGAAATGAAAGCTCTTAGCAAGATCAACACTTGGAAATTATTTACTTCCAGCTGAGAAAAAATCAGTAGGTTGTAAGTGTGTATTTACTGTTAAACAGAAGACAGATCGAACAGTAGAAAGATAAAAGGCAAGGTTGGTTGCCAAATGTTTTACTCAGACTTATGGCATTGGCTATGAGAAGACCTCTGTCCATGTTGAAAAGATGAATTGTATTCACACTCTTCTTCCTTGTGCCGCTAATCTAGGTTGGCTCTTACCACTACTAGATGTGAAGAATGCATTCCTTAATGACAACTTGGAGGAAGAGGGTTATATGAATATTCCACCAAGTTTTCTTCTCATTATACTATTGGAAAGGTTTGTCGGTTAAGGAAAGACCTTTATGGCTAAAAACAGTCTCCTAGAACTTGGTTTGAACAATTTCTCAAAGCAATGCGAGGATTTGGATACAAGCAAAGTGATGCAGACGTTACTATGTTTATCAAATATAATAGTGATATGATTACAATTCTTATTGTTTAAGTGAATGACATAGTGGTTACTGGCAATGATGTGAAGGAGATGTCTCAACTAAAATTATGATTGGTAAAGGAGTTTGAGATCAAAGACTTAAATCTATCGAAGCACTTTCTAGGGATTAAGGTTGCTAAATCTAATAACATCTATATATCTCAGAGGAAGTAAATTCTTGACCTACTTGAGGAGACTAGCATGTTGGGACGTAAACTTGAGGACACACCAATTGAGGCTAATCATAGGCTAAGTAGTGGCATAGGTTACTATGTGGATAAAGAAAGGTACCAACGTCTAATAGGGAAATTGATATACTTAGCTCACACTCGACTAAATATTGTTTATGTCGTGGGAGTTGTTAACGAGTTTATGTATGACCCTCGTATAGTATATCTATATGCTACTCACAGAATTAGGTATCTTTAAGTCCGCTCCAAGAAAAGACATGTTCTCTAACCATGGCTACTTGAGGCTAGAGGCATTCGGTGATGCTGATTGCGCTGGCTCAATTGATGATAGGAGATCCACCTCACTTTCATAGGAGGGAATCTAGATACTTGGCATAGTAAAAATAATCTATGGTGACCAGGTTTAGTGCTAAAGCAGAGTATAGAGCTATAGCAAATGGCGTTTGTGAGCTTAAGTGGCTTCAGAATTTGATGCAAGACCTAAGAATTTCGAGTGATGGGCCTATGAAGTTGTATTGCGACGATAAGACTACTATTGATATTGCTCATAATCCAGTTCAACATAACAGAACCAAACATAGTGAGATTAACAACCATTTCATTAATGAGAAACTAAATAAGGGGTTGATCTATATAGCTTTTGTCAAATCAAGAGATCAATTGACAAATGTTTTTACTAAAGGAATTAGTAGTAAAGTTTTTCATCCCACTGTTTGTAAGTTGGGCATGTGAGATATTTATACTTCAACTCAAGGGGGAGTGTTAAGAGATGTCTTATATGCCATGAGGGGTATTTATGTACTTTGAGTCTTATTATTATAAATACATGTGACTAAGGAAGATAACCCTAATTTGATTCTTAGGGCTCTCTCCCAACTGTCACCACATTCTTAAAACTCTCTCTTACTCTGCAAATCTTCTCCTTGTTTCTCTTTTCATATTTTAACACATCAATTCTACAGATCTAAACTTAATTAGCACAGAATTTGTTAAAGGTATCCAAACTAGGAAAGTCTCCTAACACTGAGCATGGTAAATGTCAATTTTGAAAATAGTAGGATCTCACACAAGATATCAAAGGCTATGACCAGCAATCGTCCTCTAAAGTTAATTCACATGGACCTCATGGCTGTCCAACTAGTGAAGAGAGTATAGGTGGAAATCGTTTCGATGCAGTAGTAGTTGATGATTTCTATCGATTCACTTAGATTTCGAACTTAAGAGAGAAATCAAAAATTTTTGAAAAAAATTTAAGAGCATTTATCAGAGAATCTACAATGACAACGTGAACCTACTACCAAAGTTATTCAGATTTGTTGTGATCATGGCAGAAAGTTTGAGAATTCCGAAATCAGTGAGTAGTATGATCAATAGGGCAACATGAATTCTCTACTCCTAGGACCGTACAGCAAAAATGTTGTTGTCGAGAGAAAAAGCAAAGTCATAAATAAATAGCTTATGTGATGTTGCCTAGTTGACATGCCCCAGAGAGTTTGGGCTAAAGTGCTGAACATCAGTTGTGACACAGTAGATGGAGTTTACTTTCGACACGGGACTCGCCAAAACCCATACACATTGTGGAATGTCAAAAATCCCTATGTGAAAAATTTTAGTGTTTTAAGGAGTAATATTAGGTTCTTGTGGAAAGAATATTAAGAAAAATCTGACATCTAGAGCAATTAAGAGACATTCGCTGGGTGTCCTACAAACAACAGAACTTGTCAAGTGTTTGCAATTTGAGGATGAGGATAGTGAGGAAGTTCCCGTGGAAAAGCTTGTTTAGTCACCAACGTCATCTCACCAGTATTTGGAAAATACTCCCAAAGAAAAAGAACAACAAAATACTCAATTATTAAAAAAAAATACAAAGATGACAATGACAAATTAGTTGTTTAACTATAATCAGCAACATAGATACGTAAAGGAATAGGATGAAACCCTCTAGTCCTTGGGTAAAGGTAAAGTCTGACTAAGGCAGAGAAAGAAAATGGCAGTCATATTAGAAGCAATCATAAAGGAAATCAAGAATTCAGATGGACAAGACAAGTAAGATGACAATGTTAAAAAGAGGGCTCCCACATTATATCAGATCAAAAATAGCCCAGAAACATTTCTACTTCATATGCAATGACTACCATTTCCCAAATACTTGAACTGAAAAATACCCACCTATACCAGTCTTTTCCTTGTTTCCAACATTTCCCTTTTTTTCCTGGACGATGTAGTTTTGAAAGATAAAGTTCAATCAGATCTAGAGTAGATATACTCTGGCTAAAGACAAGCGCCTTGTCACCAACATCAGAGCACATGGTCAGGATATCAAGCAGCAAAACCATTTTGCCACTGTAATCAACTTCCTTACAGTTTTTTCCCTGTAGAAGATCATTCCACCAATCCTGGAAGCAGATTTGATGAGCAAAACAGTTAAAAAGTAAAGGAAAAAAATAGTCATTGAACAAAAATCAAATTAAAGCAGTACACTTCATCAATCATTGTATAGGTTTTCAACCATAAATGGGGAATCAGAAACTGGATTTGGATAACATCTAATGCACACGCCTCGGGTACTCATACAAGAAAATACACGACATTGGTTCCACCACATGCACTCTGAGAGATATAGAAAAGATGTGAACCAGTAGCAGGAAGTCCATTCAAACCTCATGAAAAAAGCCATTATCAGTTTTCCTGAGTGGAACTTCATTCTTGTTCCTCAGCTTCTCTGCAATAAGCATGGCAATATAATTGTTACCAAATGGATCCCAAGAGATACGATTGACACAATATACCAAGTAGAAAAGTATGAAGTAACTTAATTTAACAGAACAGAACAAAGTTTTTAAAATGATAGAATTCATCCGATGACAATGATTTTCATTTTCATTGAAAGCCCAACCTGCAGGTGCTATCAATTCCATAGAGAGTATCCTCTTTTGAAACACCCTAGTCAATAAGATAAAAAAAAAAGGAGTTGATTTGACTATTATAACCCTGAACCTAAAATATAAAATTTTGAGAATCAAATAGAATAACTACAAAAATAAAATTCAAGGGGTTAAATGCTTGTGATTTGTGTCCATAATAGGCTCTTCACGAATCCTCCCACTTGAAAAATCACTATCAGACTAAACTCAAGGAATTAGAATCTTCTTCCACATTATAGAAAGGCCAATTCTGAGTTTGGCGCTAGTAAAGAAGACTGATGGCAGAGGTGGATTAGATAGAGACCTAACCTTTGTCATTCTATACACAAAGTGGCTACCCTCCTATTTGAACCCATAACCTCATAGTCGTTAGCCCAAACAGATGCCACAGCATTAAGGAATGGCCCTTGATATGAAACTAAACATGTTCAAATTGATCGACACTTTATTAAGAAAAAATTAAATAAGGGTTTAATTTGCAAGCCTATTGTGAAATCAGAAAACCAATTGGCTGACATCTTCACAAAAGGACCTAGTAGCAAGCTTTTTCACCCATTGTTTGCAAGTTGTGTATGAGAGAGATCTATGCACCAACTCGATGGGCAGTGTTATGTTATGCATTATTTCCTAGATTAAGTATAGTTTATTACTTTGTACCATGAGACTATATATATTTTAGGTGTAGTTGTATAACCTAATACACTACCATATTTTTTCTAATTCTCTCTCTCTCCCTCTCTCTTATTCTCCAAAACCCTAACACCATAATAATCTAACTGATATATATCCGCCAGCATGAGCGAGAGTGTTATAATATATAGGAGAGTGGTAGACTTGTAATAAATATATACCGTAAGGGCTATATTAGTCCTTTACTTGTTTTTACAAAAATATATATATACATGGATGATTGTGGACAGCAGTAAGCTCTCTGCCTTCACCCTTCTCCTCTCTCCAAACCCTAATTCTATCACAAGGGGAAATTAGTTAGCATAGCACTTAAAGAAATAAAGCATGTGTGAGACGAATCCAGCTATGTAAAATCCATGGTCGTGTCCTACACAGATACAGCATGTCAATATCAAGTGTTCAAAGTAGCTAAGTATGTGTTGCCATCAGAAGCTATGTTTTGGTTTCACATTTCATGATACCACATCATACGGATATGACATTGAAAAGCATATTCTTCAAGCAAAGAAAAAAATACAAAGCATTCTGCACAAGGATGAGGGAAGTAAAACCTCAACTCACAAATTTAATTGGTTCAATAATTCAAGGATGATGGGAAGTAAAGAAAAAGGTACCTCCAGCGATCTCATTATAATCAATGTTATCATCACTACAGCTGTCTTCAGCAAGAAAATTCTCAACAGCATCTTCATGTTTCATATAGCCTCTATCTTCTTTCATCAGTTCCAAAATTCCAGGATGGTTACATATCTACTACGAACAATCCACAATTTCATTAGATTCGTATATGTAACAAAAATAGAAAGCACATTTGCAAAGGACAATAAAAATCAACTCAAGAACTGTCAATCCAAACATCGGTTGGATAGAGTGAGACAAACAAGTAAAAACAAGCTATTGCAAAAAAACATATTGTATCGATTTAACCTCTATCAATAACTTCATCTCCAACTGGCGCTGTGTATCAATTCCTAGGATGTATGGGTCTGTTTGTCTTAGAAAATTGGAGGCCAATGAACATGCTAACCAGAAACATACCTGTGCTAAGGCCTGGTACCCAGCAAAAAAAGATCTTTTTTGTGTCTTTTCACTGGAATCTCGTTTGTTGGTGAATCCATGGACATCAAGAAACTTTTTGTATAATTTCCTCTGTAATGGAGATAGCTTCACAGCTATTACGAAAACTGTTTTGGGAGGCAGATCCTTCTTCACCACAGTCATGTCCATTCTCTGCACGAATCCTTTTAACTGTTCATAAAGTATATGTGATCTTTGGTTCATAATCTTCACATCATCAGTCGTAGAATTGGTGTGTTGACCATTTTCTATAGGATTTTGGAAACTGCATCAAAGAGAAAGGATGATCAAGAGACTGAAAGCAAAGAAAAAAGGACAGCATAAATAAGAGCAATTTGGTCAAGAATCTTGCCGGTTCCTAAACTCATGGCTGCTGCCAAGAAATCCTTCTCTTACAAAATCAACCATCTGCAAAAACAAAAATCAACATAACCACGATGCTGAGAGGTACACATAAGTCGCCAAAATCACAGCTGAGGTACCGACTTACACAGTAATATTCCATGAGATTGTTCTGAAGTGGTGATCCAGTTAATGCAATCCTTCTCTGACATTTCACTTGTTTCAAGGCCTGGGTTGTATCAGCCCTGGTGTTCTTGATCATATGGGCCTCATCACAAACAAGGATATCAGGCCCATCCTGAAAAAAAAATTATATATGTTTCTTCAAATATAAGCACCAGCATAAGATAAATGTAGAAAACAAAGATTTCATCAAAAGCCATCCTTAAAGAATGGATAAAAAAGGAAAGAATTAAACACAAAATTCTTAAATATATGGTGATTGAACTTCATGCAGTAACAAGTATATTGTTCCAGGGAATAACATATGGTAATTGAAACCAGAGGACGGGTAAAGTATACTTCAAACATATGATTAAACCAGATATAAGTAAAGTATAATTCAAACATATGATTTAGCAGTATAAAGACATAAGACGATACTAATAATCCCATTGGTAGCTGCACAGTATCAACTGGGACTACCAACAAAAAACCCTCAATTATCTACATAATTAAACAAATCTGACACCTAGAAAAAGAAGATGAACGAACAATTCAATAGGCAACTGCATATTAAGAACAGATAGTAATAGTTCTACAAATAACCCAGACCTACACAAGAGTCCAGGATGTTCATTGTTGAAGCAGCATCCAACACAGAACACATTGGCAATGAGCAGATGGGTAGACAGAAAATCAGAAAACAAATTCAAACACATAAAAGGTGCACCCAAAGAAAAAAAAAACAAAGGGGGAAGTGATTACCAGATTGAAAAAAATTGAGTTTCGTCCAAACCCTCCCAAGCCCAGCTCTGATACTATGTTAAGCATCAAACTTAGTCAATTGACAATGAGTGGAGAGGCCCTCAAGGCTTATATACTTTTAGGAGGTGTTATACTATCGATATGGGACAAGCTTTCTCATTCATAATTCTAGTACCATACAACTTGGCAACAATGATCGCAGAGTACTAGAGTAGAAGGCCTTTACTACCAGCAATAAGACAGGCAGAAATCATATATTGTCCAATTGACCATCTGCCACACTCTTAACTCGTAGGATCCCACCGCTAATATCTAGTCACATGTCAATAATAACTAAATTAAGTGCTAAAACTCACAGATTCCCTTACTATCTCTCTACCTTTGCAATGAAGTTCATAAATGATTGCATTCGTGCACCCACAAGGGCACATTAGTCAACATGATTGAATCCCTTCAGCTGTCTGCAGACACACACAATACTTAAACGAAATCCCAACTGCCCGTATAATGGATGATTTAATTAGAATTTCAAACGGACAAATTTATGTCAAAATCTAGGGTAAAGATTCCTCTCCAAGCAAAGATAATCCTATCCATAAGTTTTCCATATTAGTAAGATATACAACATATAAATGGAAACCACTTTAGCTGACAGTTGAATGACGCAACAGTTTTCAAGACAAGGAGAAGAACTTAGCACAGAAATTACTAGAAACAAGCTGAGCAACAACACATTAGTTTAAAATCATTGGCAAATTTGTGTGCAGATAAATAGAAAAAAGGAAAAGCAGGATATATTAACAGGTATTCTGTCCGAAATAAAGCATCCTTCACTTAGGAAACCGAAATGGACGCTACGTGTGTTACTTATTTTTAAGCACAATATACAATCTCAGGGCAGTTAGGAAGGGATTGGTATAAAATTTCAGAACAATTTCATACAGTTACACCCTACAGATCTGTACATTGAGCATCACTCTATAATCCTGTTGACCCCCATTTTATCTTGCTGCCTTCCACTGCATTATTTCTTCAGACGTTCATCCTTATTTGTTCTATAATGAAATGTACTCAACCTACCAACAATTCTTTCAGCATTTTCTTTCCAACTTTGATTTCCTGTAACTTTTTGTGCAATGGATTGCTTAATTTAACGATGGTCATGGTCATCAAAAATACATCAAGAACAATGTTCAGCAGCATCCCAAAGCTTTATTAGTTAAAACTGTAGAGGTTGTCCAAGGGAGTACTCGTAAAGTAATTGTCAACCTACCAACAATTCTTTCAGCATTTACTTTCCCACTTTGATTTCCTGTAACTTTTTGTCCAATGGATTGCTTAATTTAAAGGACGGTCACGGTCTTCAAAAATATGTCAAGAACAATGTTCAGCAGCATCCCACAGCTTTATTGGTTAAAACTGTAGTGGTTTTGCAGGTGAGTACTCGTAAACTATTTGTCAAGGTCCTGATAGACAACATTTAAAATTCCACACATTGCTTGAAGTCCAGATAAAACATAAGGGCAAATACAACAAGATTAATGATAGTTCAAATCATTTTGTTATCGAAAGACTAGGGTTCTAGGAACACATTAAGATGAATGGGAAAACAATACTCAAATAAAATCCCAACGGCTCACACAACCCATAATCTATGATTTATTAAGCGGCATTGAACTTAGGCATGTTAACTTTTTAACTTGGCTTCAAGTACAAGTAGATCCATTAAAAGATGCAATAAAGAGGCAATGTTACAGGGATTTCACTTGAAGAAGAAAATGTCTCTTCAAGCACAACTTATGAGTTCTCCTTCCGAAATAGATATGTTAGATAATTTATTTGTTATTTAAATCTTTCACTAAAAGATTATCCAATAATTAAATTAGACATATCTTCTACACATGCTGAAAGCAACCACCAAGTCAAAGAATTAGAACAAAATGATGACAACATATAAAATTATTGAGCTTTCAAGACATTATCTTGTGGATTGCTTCACTTTGGATAATCTCGAATTCAAACAATCCATATTCACCACGTGAATGTACAATTGCAAAGCAGTGATGGTACACAATATTCTTCCTCTCTTTTTTTTCCTTTTAGTTGTGAGGTCACTAGATCCAGTCAAGAAAGATAAAAACAATCACCTGAAGGGCATGACAAATATCCCTAGCCATGTGACGATCCTTCATATACTTTCCGAGAGACAAATTTCGAAAAGCGGTATAGCCAATCAAGAAAACACCACCTTTAGATCTCCACTTTGCCAGCAACTCCGCTCTTCTCTCCCTGACAAAGTAAACTCAGGAAAATTATAAGAAAGTGACCAGAAAGGAAAGATCATATCAACTTTAAGAAAATACGATGTTCCGAGAATTGAGCTCTTACGGAGACAGAAATTAAGAAAAAATAAACCCACTGTGAAAATGGAAAACTAAAGCATGGAAGAGGAGCTCCAAAACAAGAGGAATGAAGAAAGAACAGAAGAGATGGATGTAGGCTGAAACAATGAAAACAACGGAAACTACCCAACAAAATCCCTAGAATTAGTCAAAATTTCTTCAGTTTCATAAATATTTGCCAAAAAATAATTGTTCGTTTTCCCTAATTTAGCCACACTTGGGACAATTATCTAACAAAGTCAAGAAACTACTAGATTCACATCACACATTTCACACATTTGAGAATCAGAGAGCAGGCTCTGACATATGAGTTCATCCCAAAGCCAAGGCTTTGGCCCATGGATCCATAATATCTAGTGCCCTTCTTTTATGGCATACTAGTTCCCACTCAGGATCTGCAAATAACAAGTCCAATTCAACTGGACCAAGTGGTATTCAAATAATTGACAGAATTCGACTTCATCAAGCAAGTAGAACTGTAGAATTTCAAGGGATTTGAGGAGAGACACTGGATCAAGT